GTCTTCAAACGGTCACGGCTGGAACTTCCTTTTTTGACCTCATACTAACCTCAAGGAGCCTTTTTCCGGAAATACATGTATATAATAATAATAATAATAATAATAATAATAATAATAATAATAATAATAATAATAATAATAATAATAATAAAGCAATAGCAATATCGGAATCGGAAAATTATCTGTATTGGCCGATATCCAAATCCAGGAATTGGGATGGGATCGGAAGTACTTTGTCTGTCGTGAGTTTACTTTGCTTTTGGAACGACTCCAGAAGTGACGTCCGGCGCCTCTGTACATCGTTCTGTTCCATGGCGCATTCACGTTCTCTTTAATGTGGCGCTTTTTACGTTTAATTAAGTTAGTGGTTTTGTCTGAAGAGACGGTTACTTTACGTTTAATTAAGTTAGTGGTGTTGTTTGTGAAGAGACGGTTACACCGCTCCAAAATTCAGCTATGCAAATATCGCATTTTGCCATCTCACAGCGGACGTATTTCTTTGCAGCCTGCTATCTGGGAGTGGATGTGTATTTGTTTGCAGCCTGCTATCTGGCTGAAAAATGTGGAGTGGATTTCCTGAATTGCGACGAGCCTCGCAATCTTGTTGAGCCACATTCTGTTCAGGAAAGTGGTTCCACAGTTTACAGTCATCCAACTGTCATAGATCATTGTCTGTCGGAATTGTCAGAAACACTTGAACGATGATCCTTAATCGTTAGCCGCGGGTTGATTCCCGTCTCATACCTAGTCCTGCTCCCCGTGCTTGTCCTCAGTTGGTAACACAGAGACAGTCCACCAAAGGGTTGCTCTGACAGGAAGCAGTACTGTGGGTCTGTGGTGGGTCTGTGGTGTTCCCCACAACAGTGGTCAGTGTTTCCATCGGCCAAGATCCTGAACCACAGAAACACGGATGTTGGCACCGTCTAATGTGAATGATCATTTTAATGTGGCGACTTGTGAAATTCACCGTGCTGAACCATAGTTTATATATAGGAGTGACCTCACTAATACTCGAGGTTATCCGCCGGTACTTGTCCATACAGTTTGACCACCAGAGATACTTCCTTACCACTGACCATTTGTGTGTTTTGAGGATGTGAGTATGTGCTAAATGTTGCAACACGGATTCCACATTACACCACATTCCCCTAAAAACAATAGCTCTGGCTAAGGAGAAAATGCACTTCCTCTTTTTCTGGACTTCTGAGCCCCTGGTCATAGGGAGTGAAGAGCAGAGAGACAAGAATGTGTCATAAAAAAAAGAACCTGAGGGGCCAAATGGAGCTTAGCACTTCCCTGTGAAAAGCAGAGCAGGCAGAAAACGTGGAAAAACATGTACTTCTTGTTTCACTTCTTAAAATATTCATTCTGGAATTAAGTGGGCAAGTAACCATAACTAACTAAGAACTAACTCATTCTAAGTAAGTACTGCGAGCAAACACTAGACCAAACACTAGAGTTTTAGTTAATGAACGACCAACTAAGGTCCCCTAAACAAACGAAACTCATTAACTCCAGTACTTTCAGATCAGGCCGGAGGGAACCGTCTGAACTCTTGACCTCCAACTGTTCTGATTTATTGTAACCAATAAATCAAAATCAACAGTTATGTGCTTTAAATTTGTTTTTTAAAAGCTAATCCTTTCTAGAACATACGTGGTAATTTTAAAAATGTGTTCCCTTGTTTTGGTCTTATCTGCACTAATGTTTTCTAATGGACATGGATGAATGGAGTCTTAGTGAAACAGATCATAACATTCTTCTACGACTCGTTCCACTACGTGGTATGGAGACCATGTAGAAACCAGAGGTGTTGTGTTTTTGGGCCTAACTCCTTAAATCCAATAAAGAACGACAGTGATCAAAATAAAACTAAAACGAGGTGTTGTGTTTTTGGGCCTAACTCCAATAAAGAACGACAGTGAGCAAAATAAAACTAAGACTTAAAAAAGACCAGTTTGGAACCCTCTTACATCAGAGCCTTTGGATTTCACGGTGTGTTGTTGTGTGGAGTTCTGATCAGTTCAGGATCAGGAAGTTCCACTTGGCTGAGAAGGAGTTTAAAAAGTTGACATGACCTCATTTATTTGCAAAACACCTTCGACTGTTCAACTCGCTGGAAAATTCAATCGCTGTGTCTGTGTGTGTGATGACTCTTTAGATGAATTTCCCAAATTCCACTCATGCCTTTTTATGGTCACAGTTGCTAATGGTCCTCCAGGATAATAATGTGGACGTGGGGTGTTGTGGTTGTGTGGTTGTGTGTCTCAGACGGCGGGAGGACCAGACAGGGCTTCACCTGGAGCCATAACACTCCCACGGCCGAACCAGCAGCCGGGCCAACGCAAACACACCCTCCGCACATGACAACGGCCGTGGCCGAGGGAGGCTGTGTTTGTGTGTGCGCCGCGGTGTCCGTGGGGTGGAGCGGTCAGTGGGGTTTCCTACAGAGAAGTCAAAGCAAAGATTCACTTCCCCATCAGGGCAGACAGATAATATTGACACAGTTTGGTACAATGAGAGGGAGACTGGACCAGGTTTCATCTACAACCCAGAAAAATCCAAGGGATTTCATTTTTTTAATAGTAATAATGTTTTGTTAATTAAATAAGACAGAAATCTCATAAACAAACAAACAGAATTACTAATATCGAGTAGTACAGGCACCAAGTATTGTTAAAGGGAGGATTGTAATACAAGCATGTACTGCAGTACAAATGTAAAATCAATCAGTCAGTCAACTAACTCACCCCTGCATTAACCTTTACCAGTTATAAACTGGTTAACTCGGTATATATTTAGCTGAATACAAAGGTTTTCTTTAGTGATTCTTATTGGACAAAAAGTCAGAAATAATCAGTAGATTTTCTTTGATTTAAAACACGTTTTTTTTTTTCAAACTCACTTTCAGTAACTTGACTTCAGTCAGAAGAACGTGTCTGCGATCGTGTTCTGTACGAACATGGCTAGCGTGTAACCGTGGCTGCGAGTTCACCTGCTAAAATTCCGCCCTGACCCCGTGACCTCACCTCAAGTGTGTGTGCGTCTTGTCGTGTGTCCGTCAACCGTAGGCGGACCGACCGCACTGTTAACACACGACACTTCGGTGTGACCTTGAAGAACGCCGGTGACCGTGATTGGTCGCCAGCTTCCAGGTCATTAAGCTGCTCACGCTGGGACGCCGTGCCAAGAGACACAACCTCCGTTTGCTTTACAACACATGGATAAACTCACACACACTCGTTAGAGGGACACTACGGGGATGGCAGCCAAGTCTCGGCCACCGGTTGGCCGCGCTGCGTGAGCTGGCCCGAGTCGGTAGAACCTCGGTGACCTGCGTGAACTTTGGCTCACCTTCATTGGGTCGTTACACCACACGACCTCACACCTGAATGACTACTGGCTGCTGGAGCATCGAATAAGTTCATGACCGAGAGGGGAAACAGCTGAGAGAAGTTCACTCTGAGGGAAGACGGGGAGGGACGGGGGGAGACGGGTAAGGACCAGGAACGTTGTATTTACTGTAACTTTATAAATGATTTATATTTCGCCACTCGACTAAATCCTGATGTTCAGTTTTCAGTGGTTAAAAATGTGGTTTCATCCAAATATATTTAGGTTTTCCTCCCTGCCAGGACTGGATCTGTTTTCCGTGCAGGAAAGACTCAAAGTCAGAAAGTTCTGAGACGGATTATATTTCAAACAGTAGCAGCTCTGTAACACATCAAAGTGTGTTACGACACGTCCTTCAGTCGTCTCCAAGTCTTCATTATTATTTCAGGTTTTTCAACCCCCCGAACATACCCCGCAACAGTGAGACGGGGGCATGCATTCTTAGATTGTACCCTAGTGGAGAAAATGCTATTTGTATTTGTCTGTTTAAGGTGGGAAGTTAGAAGTGAAGAAAAATGGAGTTCACAGGAACTGATGCTCTTTCCCAGAGTGAGTTCCCATGATCCCCCACGATGGGTTCTCCTTCGGTCCAGAAGCATGAATTTGGCGATACGATACATACTGTATCACGATACAGGGGCAACAATACGATATAGATTGCGATACTGTAGACAAATGAACCAACGCCATGAATATTTGACTGTTTGTTGTTAAAAATCTAGTGGATCGATCTAGTGCTGTAGAATATACGATACAGTAAAGTGAGATGAAATATTTTCTTACACACCCGCTAAACTGGATTTCAACGTAGAAGATGGACGTGTGGTTTCATGAAGTAGTACGCAAACCTCGACGATGACATCATCGTTTCTTCTGAAATGTATAAATTTAGTGAAGTTTCCTGTTTCCTCTTCTATTTATACAGGGACATACTGGGGGGCGGGGGGGGCAGAGGGGGGGAGTAGGACAGGACACCTGCCCCCTCTTTTACCTTGTGTTTCGTTGGGTTACTTTTTGGGTTGAGTTGAATCTGTACGTTTGCGTCCGACCTCGCGTCGGTGTGAAGTCACCCTGAGGTCTGCTGGAGAACACGCCGAGTCATCGTTCTGCAGAAACCCTGCTGACTCAGCAGGGAGAGCGCCCCCACAGTTCATCGCCACATCTCATTTGTGTTCTGCCCCGTCGGTTTCATATGAGTTTCAGAGTCAGTAGATACTCCGTACAGTACTACAGTAACAGTATTTCCTCCTCCTGCTCCTGCCTTTCTGTCCTTCTCACTTTACTGCCATGTTTCAACCCACTTCACCCTCACCCTCACCCGGGCCTCCCA